AGGAGGCAGAGAGGCCTCGCTAGCTCCCTGTCCGTGCTGCTGCGCTTCAGGGTGTGGGACTGTTTGCACAGTGGAGACTCCCTGACAGCCCCAGTGAGCCCAGCTTAGCTCTCAGTTATGGCTATTGAAGAGAGGAGATTAAAAAAACACGGAATGTGGTAACCATGCAGCATTGCTTGTCATGACGAGTAAACCCAGCCAGCGTGTGTGGAAGACAGAATAAACGTTTAGATGATTTGTACCTGGGTCCTGTGTATGTTTATGCAGACCCAATTCCCACAGAATTTAACAGGGTTTTATTCCACGGTCAGGCTGCACAGGATGGGGCTTAATGCCTTATAATAAAGAGATGATTTATCATGTGGAAGTATTCCTCCTTTCCCAGCCTTCTTATCTCATGTCATGTTTTTCTCAGGCTTTATATTTCCCATGCCAGAACACCATTCCCCATTCTGGGACGTTTAGAAACTGTTAAATATTTGATATTCCATTTATGGAACAACATTTTGCAAGTTATGATCTCCATGATATATCTTTTTGCAGATAGTGGTGGGTTGTTTGTAGGGTTTTTTATTTTCACTTAAATTGTCTGCAAATAGTCACTACTTCATGATTTTACTTGTGCTCTGAGAGTACATGATCTGACTACCTTGCCAAAATTAAGCAGGTCTGGATTCTGACAATACCTCAGTGGGCATCTCACCTCTGCCTTTTTGAGTTCCATGGAAGAACAAAGGCAGACTACAAATGTACATAATAAGTTGTCAGATGAGAACTGATGATGAAAGTTATAAGTTTATAAATTTTTAAAGAAGAAATATTACTAGTCTCTGAATCCACTGCATCCATTTTTGGAGATGATGTTTCTGTGTGATATATCCTCACAATAAAGAAATTGATTGGTTACTTACACCTTACTTTAGTGCATAGTGTGAACAAATATTGTAGCTAGGTGCAGAGTATCAGTAATTCCAGTGTAACCTAAGGCAAGCCACTGTACAAGGACAAGATACTATTTCAGAAATGTGAGTGGCATGAATTCTTGAGTGTAGACTGTTTGCAGAGAGCAATGGGTGTTCTTTTGCTCATACCCCATGAAATGAATGGAAGATCTGCAAGAGTACTGAAGTGCTAGGGAAGCAGAGTGCAAAAGGGGGGGGGGGAGAATTTTTGAAGCAAATGGATAGATTCATAGGGGACATGATCCAATGGGATGTTTGCCCACATTTAAATGAACAGGACTTGCACACAAGAAAATGTTCCCGATGCATTACACTCCATGGTTGTTTCCATGTATTTATTATTTTATTTATTTATTTATTTATTTATTTAGTAAACTTCTATGCCGCCCCATTCGCCGAAGCCTCAGGGCGGCTCACAGACATAAATAAACTTTGTTAAAATAATATAAATTAACAGTATAAATTAAGTCGCCCTGGCCAAAGAATAAAATAAATACTATTAACAGTTAAAATGACATTTGAATAAAAAGGTCTTCGCCTGGCGCCGAAAAACAAATAACGACGGCGCCAGGCGGACCTCTCTGGGGAGCGCATTCCATAGATTGGGCGCCACCGCAGAGAAAGCCCTCCTCCGAGTACTCACCCTCCTAATTTCCTTCACGGAGGGTTCCCAGAGAAGGGCCTCTCCCACAGACCTCAGGGGGCGGACGGGTATATATGGACGTAAGCACTCCTTCGGGTAACCAGGACCCAAGCTGTTTAGGGCCTTATAGGTCATCACCTAAGTATCTGTATACTACAGATGTGGCAGGATGAATAGTATTTCTCATTAACCTACTCAGAACAAGTTATTTTATGATATGCCACTCTTCAATAAGAGATAACAAACACAGAAGGAATTAAAACTTTACTTATTTAAATTAACTGTTCAAGGAGAAGTGAGGCTCCAAAGCAAAAAAAAGCAAGCTTTTCCCACCTTTCTAAACACTCTTCCTTAGAGGATAAAAACCAAAGCTGGCTACCAAGGATTGAAGGCACTTCCAGAATAATTCTGAGATAGGAAGATCCTTTTAGCTGCAATGCCTCTATCAGATGACAATAGCCATTTCCCAAAAAACTTCTCATCGCAAGGTTCCTCCACACTTAATGAGTATATTGGGTTGTTTTACTTCCTCCTTCTTCCACTACCAAAGGAGAAAGGAGCATTGGGCTTATTATAAATGTTCATTATCTTCAATGAATGGAGGTTATTCAGACATACTGAAAGGTTGTGCAACTGCAGCCTACACAACAGAAAACGTCTCTGATGCTCTGAATCAACAATTCAAAATAATTTGAGTCCTGGAAATGACCTTCAGTCTCATCTCCTTTATATGTTCTTTAGTCTTACTATTCCTATACTTTTATAATTTAATGTAATAGATGTTCGTGGTTTCTTGGATTAAAAATGTGTGGATTTTTTTGTCCTCAGTTGTATTATATTGTGAAACTATGAGAATATCTTACCACTGAATGGGGGCAAGCATAATCATTTTCATAACCCCTAACCACACCCACTAAAGAATATTCACAGCAAGTCCAATATTTATTTATTTATTTTATCCAAGCTTGAACATATAGTAGACTACTACAAAATAAATCTGAAATAACAATACCGTAATTGACGTATTTCTTGGCAAGATCTACATTTGTCAGTCTCTTCAGAAATGGATAGGCCCATAAAATTGGATTCCAATGATGTTCCATTTTCTTAACACCATCCAAAAGATACCTTAATTCTTCTGATGTAAAATCTTTCCTGATTCTCCATTGTAGTAGTAGTAGTTGTTGTTTTAATTGTCACCAGGAATATCTGCCTGAGGAATTTCAGAATTCTTATCTTTCCTGCTCTCAAAAGAATGACTGAACATGCTGTTTAAAAACAGATGCAAACCTGGAAGGTCACGATAAAGACCATGAGCAGGACATGAGAATCGTACAACCTTTCTCCAGCTTTGTGCAGAAAGCCAGAATTGGCTTTAAAGAGCCATTTTTTTCACATCAATAACACAGTGATCCTGTGACCCCTGGACAGCATCAGGATGCCTCAACCTCCTTCTCCCACTTCCAAAGTACCACAGTTGCAAGCAAAATCAGCTGGCTGGCTGCTTTGTGGGACAGGGCAAAGACAAGCTTCATCTTCATTCTCTTCCTGCCCTGCATGCAATGCCTATAATTCTCCAAGACTGGGGGCTTACCAGCATCCCCATAAGACTGCGTGCTAAAAAGGGCAAATATAACCCACACAGCCAATCTGCATGCTTGTTTTTTCCACAGGGAAGACAGTATGGAGATCCAAACCCAAAGAACTGGGCTGAAGCCAGAAATAAATATTGGCTGCACGGTACAGTGTATCCTAAGGGTTTCTACAAGGTTCCGCCACCCTGACGTTTGCTGCATTTAACCATGAGAAATCACATATGCAGCTAATCCTATCCTTGTTGCAAGGGACATACTCCAGAGGAACAGCTGATGAAGGTCTTCTAGTGCCATTTCATCTAGTATTTGCCATCCGAGGCAAGTTCCTCACTCTTCCTAATGGTAGTGCTGACCCCTGTGTTAGCTCTTGGACTTCCATGTTTGGGCCATGAGTTGGAACCCAATAATTAGGCCATGAACAAGACCAGAAGTCCACTTTTGAGGCCTCTGTACTTCATACAAATGTTTTGGAACCATGCCTTAGCCTTACTATAAAAACAAAAAAGTATCTTTGTTATGACAGATTCCAAACAAGCATCCTTATATCCTGTGCTAATCAATGCATCAGCCATTCCATACATAAAAATCAGCAAAATTAATTAGAATTTCCACTATGTTTATGAACAGGTATGGAAAGCGGGAGGCTCCATACTTTCACCCCTCTTTAATCACCTATGAGTTTTGCAGGGTCACTAAAGGATTTTCGGATAACCAACCCATATGTGTCTATCAATATATGTTTTTTGGAAAAGGTAACTCTGCTCCCAAGCCCTTTCTTCAGGTTAAGACCTCCCTTCTTTTTGCCGTTATTTATATATTTATTTCTATACTGCCCGATAACCAAAGCATTCTGGCCAGTTTACAACAGTTAATAAAAACAATACAATAAAATAACATAAATCCTTATCAACATACAAACCTTCTAAAGCAAAACATTAGAAACAGCGAAAACAAAATATAGTAAAGAGTAGCCCTGTATAAAAACACCCTGGGCGCATGATCCCTTCAAGCACTTGGATCTACAAGTATAACTTTAAAAGCCTCAGCATAAAGGGCTCTCTTTACCTGGTGCTGAAAAGATGGCAAAGTTGACACAAGGCAGGCTGCACGGGGCGGGGGGGGGGGGGGGCTTCCATAGGTGGGGGACAACCACAAAGCAAACCCTCTTTCTGGTTGCTGCCTTCCAAACCTCCCTCAAAGTTGGCACAGTAGAAGGCTCCTGATATTGAGCATAGTGGTTGGGGGAGGTATTCTGTCAAGTACTGTGGCCCCAATCCATGCAAGACTTTATAAGTTAAGACCAGCACCTTGCATTGGGCTTGGAAGCATACAGCTAGCCAGTTGCAAGCTGGCCAGAACTGGTCTCATATATTCAAACCTACAGGTCCCAGTTATTAATCTGACTGCTGCATTTTGCAGGGACTCCAGCATATATTCAAATGGATTCCTTAAAATTTAAGACACAGCAATCAGATGTACCAGATCAATTCATCTTCCATATTGTTCTTGTCAATGTCCCAGTGGTCCTTATGGACTGTCGTGAAGACGTAGTGGAAGTTGCACAACTAAACTACACAAGGAGTTTTGCAAAAGCAAAACACAGTGTAATAGGTTGTTGACTTTCCTGGGATACTCTTTCAAGCTTTTCCAGTTTGCATGGCAAAATTGGCTTAGGAGCAAAAATTGCTGCTGCCTCTTTAAGAGACCAATACTGTCCCACAGGTGAGCTAGTATAAAGGCAGGTAAGCTGCAGCACTTGCATTAAAAGAGCTGGCAGCAGAGAAGGAAGCAGTCTACATCATGACAGGCCACAGCTGGGGCTATGGGCAGAAAGCAGGTAAAGTATTTGCATCCTTTCCCCTTCCTCCTCTCTTCTGCTCTATATACTTGTGTGCAGTCTGTGCAGCCGCTGATAGCATGCCACTGTTTCCAGCAGAGTGCAACAGGCACTTAAATAGTTAACAAAGAATCTCTTAAATATTGCTTGCAGGAGAAACCAACTTCTCTGTCTTTCTGTGTGCTCAGTCAAAAGCATGACCTGTTCACATTTTAACTTTTATTTCCAGCATCCCCTTACAAAGTCATTATCATCATGATCATCATTATAAAAGTGGGAAAACCTCTGGTGCATAGTTCCACTGAATTCTGTTCCTGTCCTGTGCCTCCTTCTATCTGTTTCTTTGGTCTTTCCAAATATAAGAATCCATAAAATGTTTTCATTAGTGTCAATTAGCATGCAATGCCAAATGGGGCTGTAAACCATGCCCCACAGAGGACATGCAAGCTCCAGCTTGTACTGCCCCATCAGAAGCAGGCAAACAGAGGAATAGATGGTCTGAAAAGATATATGGCAGGGAAAGAGAGTTCACCTTTTCTTTCCTATTTTTGCAGGCTACATGAACACTCTTGTGATCAAGTAGCACGAAAGGAGTCTGTTCAAAGATCGCAAAAACTGGCACAGTCGCAGGTCAGCAGCAGAGCTTGCTAGATTTGTTTGCGCGAAAGGTGCCTGGTCCAAGCCTTCCTTCTGCCAGGAAATGGCTCCTAGCTGGGAAGCCCAGGAGAGACCTTGGGGAGCGCTTACCAGTCAGAGCTGCCAGTGTCCCTGAGGTTTTTGGGTTGGCAAGTATATTTAGCATTTGTCACAGGCACTCTCGCAAAATGGCTGTCATGGTGGGCATGGCTGATCACAAAACACCCAATTTCTGGTATGGAAACTGGCAAGACTAAAAGAAGAGAAATTAGCCCAAAACCCAAACATGAAGCAGAGGTGGGGTCTGGGCTCCAAAACTAAAGAAACAAAATTAAAAAAAAAAAAAAAACCTATTAAAAAGGTGCCAGAGGACATCCCATCACTTTGCAGGTTACCAATCTTTTAAAAAAATATTAAAAACACTTTGGGTAATTTAATGGGAAATTACAGGCACCCAGAAAGATATATTGTAGACATACTGGTGCCACTTTGGAGACCCCAGCACTGAGCTAAATAAATCTGATCACCGAACACAGGCAAGATCCCATGTTCAGTTCAGAGGATCTCTAGTTAAAAGTACCTGCGCTGAGAAAGACAGAGATAATGTTAGCAAGTGGCACACGAGGGCTGTAGCCCATCATCTTTCCTTTAGAGTGCTGGATCTCTGGGAGGCATCTGCCTGTTGGCCATGGGCGCTTGCTGAATAGACCAAATAAGTGGATAGAAGAAGGCTCTGTGCCAGATGGTCCTCCTGAATTCACTCACGTTCTCCTGTTCTCTCAAGCTGAATCTCATACAATCATGTCAGATGTTGGAAGGGGCCAGAGGGCCACCAGGTCCACTCCCCTACTCAGTGCAGGATGCCAGGTTGATCCATCCTTCTTGGGGGGGGGGGGCGCTTTCTGCCTAAGATTTTATTTTTCTGAAATCAAATGCCCTACCTGTCCATACATGCCTCAGGAGACAGGGTCCTTTAAAGAGATGCAAACACAGAAAGAATTTAGAGACTCTTTCTCTCTTCCCTCCCTCCCCCCTTTTTTGTCCTGTGGACCTAAGCCCTAGATCTTTATGGTACCTTGGCCCACCTCTGGATGAAAACCTCTTCTTTAAGACCTGATCTTAGTCAAAGGAGTACAATTATAGTCAGAATGATCAATGTGCTAGATCTAAATACGGCAATCTCCTACTTGCACACACTTGCCAATGCACAACCTGCAAGATGTGCCCTCTGAGTTCAAAAACACTGTGTTTTGTTGCTCAGCCCCTGCCTCTGAGCTGTAATTGGGTTCTTATTTATCACATTTGCCCCATGGGTAAAGCACTTGGGAAAAGCATTTTTCCTTTTATATCACCAATCCGCCTTCTAGAAATGACTGTTTTGCAACCGGTGATGTCTAGAATGTCAGATATGTGCACAATTTTCTGAGTGCACCCATAATGTTATCTTCCAAATGTGCCCACCAGGGACAGCCCTACTATTATACAAGCTGATGTACATGCATCAGGCAGCAAACTTGAGCCAAAAGGCTTTGCTGCCAGAGGCACAACACAATGAAAGATGCCCCACTCATACGCATCAAGAATTTTTCTACCGGAGGCTGCTAATCTGCTGTATCTGCTTTCTGTTTTGTTGCAGAAGCGAGGTCTGACCACAGCATGAAGTCTGCTTCAAGACCTGTGGTGTAGCAGAATCCCACTTACACAAGCAGAAAGAGTGTTTTCTTTCAGTTGTATGAATACTACTACATTCTCCTTGCTCTAAAAATAACTCACCAAAAGTACTGTTTAGACACAGAAATGACACTGGAGGGTCATGATGTAATCTAAAATGTGTAAACAACCATGACGAGGGAGGTGATGAGCATGTAGTAAGGGCTATGTATATAAAAAAACCCCAGTGAGATAATGTCAGAAGTACTGAGAGAGGGAGTTGAAGTGGCATTCAACCAGAGATGATTGTTTTCCAGTATCATTTGTTGTCTAGGGTCTCAGGCAGAGATGTGTGGACCTTGGAAGTAGGAGGCAAAAGGGAAAGATGAGGCAAAAACAAAAAACCCAGATCCAGTCTGATGTTTGTTCTATCATTTTTACTTTGACAAGTTGTTGTTGTTAGTCATGAAGTCGTGTCCGACCCATCGCAACCCACCCCATGGATAACATTCCTCCAGGCCTTCCTGTCCTCCACCAAGTACTCTGGTATTATTATTATTATTATTATTATTATTATTATTATTATTATTATTCAAGTGTATATTTTATTCTTAGAAGCTCATTTCAACAACACTGGATATGATCACTCTTCACTATTTTATCATTAGCCCATGGGGAACGTGATTCTGTGATCCCTTGATGACATCTAGGCAGCCACAGGATTCCTCAGATCCCAAACGTGAGATTGAAAATTGAGCTTGGAGCTCACAGGAAGTGTCATGCTGGCTGCTTCTCAGAGGCTGGGACAAATGACTTTGGAGAGGCAGTAAAGCAGGTGTTCCAGAGAGTGGGGAGCAAAGGAGACCAGGCCTGCCAGGACAGGAGGTATCCTGGTGGTACTCCAGTCTTCTCCCTTTCCCCTGTGAAGCACCACAGAGTGGGAGGACCAGCAAGGTGGAACTGACTTCCTTTACACTGCAAAGGATGTTCATAAACCTCCAAACCCAAAGATTCATGAACATTAGTGGTGCAATCTATTGGACTGTCTCCTAAATAAGCAGATGTAAAAATGATCCAGAAAAGTATGCAGCATTCATCTTGTCCTATCATCATGATTCCCCGTCCTTAAAGAAGCCTCCAAGGTCACTGCACAGGCATTTCCCATTGCATGCTATCCAAGCCTTTTCACTTAGAGATGCCACCTGCCATCTTCCACTTCTAGCTTGCCATAGTTGCTAACTTCTTCACAGTAATTATCTGCAAGTCTGATGAGTCCATTTTGTTCCCCAGATAATCCTTGTTGCAGCAAGCTTTGGCTGTCCCTCTTATAAGGAAGGCAGTACTGGGGAGGCAGGGAAGAGGCACTATAATCTCTGGCTCGAAAGACATGAGTAACATTTCTCTTTTTCTCCCCAAAGGACCTTCTGAGTGGTACAAATCCTACCCTATTGCCCAAGGAAGTTATCAGTCCCCTGTTGACATCATCCCCACAAAAGCAATTTATGACCCCTGTCTGAAGCCCCTTAGCATTTTATATGAGTCGTGTTCATCCCTTGACATCTCCAACAACGGGCACTCAGTCATGGTAGACTTTAAGGATGTTGATGACAAAACAGGTACGTGGTGCGTGGCAGAGACACTGCGTGTCTTAGAACAGCAGTTTTCTTGTTTCTGTGCTTGATGTCTTCCAAGGGGAAAATCAGGAACCCAAAGATTGCCCATAGCTCAAGTTCTGACATCAAAAAACAACAACCAGGGAATGAGGTTTTCCTGGGTTGTTAGTTGAAAATGGACATGGTCTGAATGTTCCACTTGTCCCTACAATTCCTGGGTTTTCTCTGGAGGAGTATAAGACCGAAAGACATCTAAAATACTATTGTTACAGGGCAATCAGGTCTCCAGTGACAGGTGAAGAACAGTCACGAGGCCACTTAAGATGCTGCTGCTGCAGCGTTATCAAGCACAGTATTAAGTTGCAGCCATTAGAGAACTTAAAACTTACCTTGTGAGAGCTGTAAGTGCAAGATGCAATTCAGTGAATACATAGTTTCTAGCTGTAGTTAATGCCCTTGAAGGAACTTCAGCAAATCTGTTCTTACCAAAATGTAGGAATGGTGCTTCCAAACAGTAGCATGATTAATCTGTTTTTTCAGTTTAATGATCTGACACGGACCCTTCTCTGTAGCAGTTCGTGTATATTACTTAATTGAATTTAAAAGAAGTCAGCAGGCTGCCCTGCTGGATGCGGCCCTGGATCTCTGTGCAAAAGGGAACCTCTGCCCTTGAATGGACCTCTGCTTCCACAGTGCATGGGATGTTGCAAGTCCCAGCATGGCGGGCTTAGTATGCAGTTGGTGCATCAAGCGCTTGGATGTTACCAAGTCTGGAATACAGAGGCCTCTGAACTGTTTGGGCTGGTGGACACATCTGGAATTGTGAGTGTTGTGCGTGCTCTCACAAAATGACTGTCATGGGGGCTTGCTCATTTATAAGGTAACTGCCATGGCGGGCTCAAAAGAGTCATTTCCCAGAAGGCCAGCTGGTGAGACTTGAAGTAATGCCATTTGCCCAAGAATCACAGTACAAGGCAAAAGTGAGATAAGAAAGTATGTAAAGTTGATGGATGTAGGACATATTTTCCAGTGCAATAAAAGAGTAAGATTTTCATGGAATGAGAGGTGGTGTTTAGCTTTCCATATTTGAAATATACGAGGTGTGTTCAGAAAGTAATATTTTAACGTTCTTTTATTGAAAAAATTTACAATTGAACATTCTCTCCTTCAAAGTATGCACCTTGTGAGTGTACACAACACTCCCAGTAATTTTTCCATTCTTCAAAGCATCCCTGGAATTCATGTGGGATGGCATTCAGAGCCTGCATAGTGGCTCTTTGGACATTATCCACACTGCCAAAATGGTGTCCTTTCAAACCATTCTTCATCTCTGGGAAGATGAAAAAGTCGCAAGGAGTCAAGTTGGAGCTGTAGGGAAAGCACTGTGATGTGTTTTTCAGCCAAAAACACTTTGACAGCCAAAACAGTGTGACTTGGTGTGTTGTCGTGATGAAGGATCCAAGTTGAGCTGATCTCTACTTGTGCCATCGGGGCACTTGTGCAGGTGATAGTGCAGCTTCTCCATGAGCTTTCCTCATCATTTCCAAAGTTTCTGATGTACTTTTAACCAATTTCACACGTACCGCTGTTCCAAACTCACATGCATTTTTCCTAATATGAGGAACTTGAACAGGGTGTCACAAAAAAGCAGGTCTCAACTCTGACAGGGCTGGAATGAACCTGATCAGTGTTCTAATGTATACTTGGCACCCACCCCAAGTGACCTTGGGCAGCTTCTCCCTTCACAGAGCCCTTCTCGAGCGTAGGGACTTTTCTCATTACTTTCTGGACACACCTCGTAAATCTTTTTTGCTACTGTTTTATGGAAAGGAAGCCTGATCATGTGTCACTGGCCTGGAACATTTCACTGTAATATCTTTATCCTGTCTGCATGTTTCTGGGCTTGGCTGTGCCTTCTGATGAAAGAGAGAAGGTGTATAACAATTGTTAGTTTCACTGAAACCTCATTTCTTTCCAATTAATTTTTTTGGTTTGCAGCTGTCAGTGGGGGGCCACTGGAAGATTCTTACAGGCTGAAGCAGTTCCATTTCCATTGGGGGGGCAAGCCAAGATTCTGGGTCAGAACATACCATTGATGGCAAATCTTTTCCTTGTGAGGTGAGCCATACCTTTATGACATCCTGTCATTGTTTACAAAGAAACTCCACACGGAAACCAACAGGGTCAACTTATGCCAGTTTGCTTCCACTCTACAAGCAGTATTGCTCAGGCAGTGCCCACTGCTTATGCAAGGGAGATATACTGTCCTTGTTTCCGGGCTCCACCAACAGGCCTCCTTCTAGAAATGAGTGTTCCCTTTCATTCTGGACTGCCAGGGAAATGCTAAATCGTCATTGCCTGAGCAGAATACAATTAGCATGACAGAAGTGAATCAGTGGGGCAGAAAAGAACCTGATGGGCTCTTCCCATGGGCTTTTCTGAGCAAAGCCATACATTAAGTTCTGTAATTGCTTGTTCAGCATAATCAGCTGAAGAGAGAATACGACCTCATTGCTTAACCTTTATATAATAATGATGGATAATTCTCCTCCACAGCTCCATTTAGTTCACTGGAATGCCAAGAAATATATGTCATTTGGAGAGGCCATGGCAGCCCCAGATGGCTTAGCAGTGGTTGGTGTTTTCTTAGAGGTGAGAAACACAGAAGTCATTGCTGTTTTATTTATTATATGGATAGTGCTCAAGGTTCGTGTTACAGGATAACAAGACCAGTTCCTGTCCTAAAGAACTTACAATCCAAAATTCAACACAAGAGGAAACTGGGGGTGGGGGAGAGAAATGAGTCCAACGGGAGAAGGACACATGCTCAGCTAATTACATATATGCAAGCTGCAATCCTATATATACATGCAGGGAAATTATTCTTCCTGAACCAAACGAGGCAGTTTCTGAGTAGGCATATACAGCATAGGATTTCACTCTCAGCACTTGCCTTGCAGAAAGGGATGCAGCCCAAAGGGTTCTACCACAGAGTCAGTGTGGTGTAGCAGTTAAGAGCAGAGTACAGGACTGGGACTTGGACTCAGTCACGTTGGTGACTTTGGGCCAGTCACAGGCTCTCAGCCCAACCTATCTGACAGTTGTTGCAGGGATAAGATTAAGAGCAGGAGGAAGAGAATGATGTAAGCTGCTTCGAGTTCTTTAAAAGAAAACAGGTGGGATATAAATCTAATAAATACGAAGGAGGGTGAGAAGGGATCTGAAGGAATGAAGAGAAGAGGCATTGTGCAGGTGTCCCGGGAGGCAGTTCCAGGAATGGGGGTGGATGGAAGAAAGGGCAGAGTTGCCTGAAGGACCAGGAGACCTTAAAGAATTCCACCCTTTTTAATCCAATATGTTTAAGAAGTGGTGCTGGAGGGAATTAGATGCCTAGCATCTGACCAATAATAGAAGCAAATCTGGAACATAAGTTAAGCTTACTATCTTTGTACCTGACAAGTTCCACACATACCTATACAACTCTATCCTTTCAAACTTTTAGATTGGAGAAGAACATGCTTATATGAACAGATTGACAGATGCCTTGTATATGGTCAAGTTTAAAGTAAGTATTAACTCAAACTGCAGAGTAGCTAAGGTGATCATAAATTGTTTTTGTTTTTTGTATTTTAAAAACTTAATAAAGGATGATCAATTTAAAAATGCAAAACAGGCTACGTGTGTATAATGTTCTCATCCATGGTAAATAAAAACAATGAGCCTTTGTTTTGGAGCTCTTTGGAACAAGCTGAAACTTAATTGAGGCAAGATGGAAATACCGCTGGTTGGGAATTTTGTTGAACTGGGTACCGTATGCAATCTGACTTGAATGTGGTTGCATTTTGCCTGTGGAAACACGTTGGTATTCTTGGGCAGGGACTCCACCCCCCCCCCCCATAGCAGGCCCATCAGCCACTAAGCTCTGTGCTCTGTTGCTTTCTTTTCCAGCACAGTGCTCTGCACAGAACCAGGTGGCGAGGACTAGCCGCATGCCCATTTCAAACAGTGCTGTCTGTTGCAGTGTCTCTAAAGCTTCTCTACAGGAGGCTCTTAATAAGTTGTAACCAGTGCTTTTTTGTAAAAAAAAAAAAAGTGCCGGAACTCACGTCCCCGCCAGCAGTAAGCACACACACCAATCCCAAGCCAGGCAGCGATATCTCGCACTATCAGATAGCAGACACAATAGCAGCCTGCAGGCACTATGTTAATGATGTTTGCTGCTGATCTGCTATGATTCAAAATCACTTCGTAAAATCCATTGAAAAAAAGGTGCCAGAACACCGTTCCGGTGCATTCCATGACAAAAAAGCCCTGGTTGTAACTACTTCCAGTTTTGTCACAGAACTGAGATGCAAGCTTCACTAAAACTTTGTTTCCTGCTTTTCCACTATATAACCATTAGATGGTGCTGTGCTATAGCAGAGGAACACAATCACACTAGTAGGAAAATACATGTTCTTTTGCTTTTGGTCATAAAACTCAATTTCCCTGCTCTAAGACACCCAGGAAAGTCTTAAAACAGAAGCAAACCTGGAGGGTTATCATGTCTTAAGCACTTGTAAACAATCATGAGTAAGGAAAGATAAATATACAATAAATGTTTCCTGTAAAAAGCTCTGAGGCAAGATTAGGCAACCTCGAGCCCTCCAAATGTTTTGGGCAACAACTCCCATAAGCCCCAGCCAGCATGGCCACTAGTCAGGGAATATGGAATATATAGTTTCAAATATCCTAAACCACTATGTCTACAGAGGAAGTAGGGCCATGCACCCATTCAAGTTCTCATAGCTCTGAGGGTGTTCACTATCTGAACCAAGGTTGCAAGTGAACAAAACTCAATTTAAAATTGGCTTTTGATACTGGCTTATTGGGTACCCTTAACCATACATCTCAGGCGGGAGTCACACAAAAAGATCCTTTCATAGTCTCTTTACTGTTAATGTGAAGCATTCAGCTTGTTCAGATCATAGTTTATTAAGCCAGGATTCCTGGCTTACCATTATGGGTGATGTTACAAAACAGACTGGCAAATGGTGCTTACTTGAGTAAATATGTTCAGAATTGTGTTGCACATCTGCACTCCTACACCTTGCACAACAGGAATTACGTCTCAGCGAACGGTTGCAGGATTAGTGTTTTTCTATTAACAAATTCTACTGAGAAACTATTAAAATGTGTCTTGGCTATGTTGCCCTGGTATACTGTTAGCACTTCTGAGGGAAATGGCATTTCCACGGTGGTGAATTCTAATGGAGACTTGTAAGGCAGGACCTTTATGGAGATGTTACTTTACATTGATTGTCATAGTGAAGGTATTTCCACATAAACGTCCTGTGTAGAGCCAATATTAACATGGTGCTCATTTCTGCAAAATTCACACCTTTAAATTGAAATGCCATTTTTGTGTGTTTGGGGTTATTTCTCATTATCCATGACTCAAGTGAAGGGCTATAATTTTCAAAAGCTGACTCTACCAAAGGAAAAGAAGAAAAACACCCAGTTTGATGCAGTTATGATGGCTGTTCCAGTAAGAAATGAATTTAGTCTATTTTCCTCTTAAAATCACTTAATATTACAGCATACATTTTGCCTATATATTTTGTCTATTCAGTCTTTTTATGGAGAGCCCATGTAGCATGGACGGTTAGAATGTTTGCTGGGATTCAGGAGGTCTGGGTTGTAGTCCAAACTCAGACAGGAAGCGCACCAGGCAACTCTGAGCCACGCATGATCTCCCAGTCTAACCTACCTCCCCGGGTGATGGTTGTAAGTCAAAAATGGAAAGAGCCACCTTGACTTCCTTGCAAGGAGAAGAAAGGCAGGCTCTAAATGTAATAAAATAAAAAGTCCATCCAGCACATGATCTCACCTACTTGCTGTTCATAGCATCAAGGCAGCTTTCTAGGTCTGGGTAAGAACTTTTTTTTTTGGTAGTGCAACTTAATTTATAACTTTAGTTTCTGCTTTTAAATCACAAAAGCAACAATTTAAAAAATCTAATTTGTGCCAATGCTTTTCTTAGGGAACCAAAACCCAGTTCAAGCACTTCAGTCCAAGTCGCCTTCTGCCCCCCTGCCTGGATTATTGGACGTATCCTGGATCCTTGACGACCCCTCCCCTTCATGAGAGTGTGACATGGATGGTGCTCAAGGACCCTATCAGAATATCTGATAAACAGGTAAATTCTTGAAGGGTGGACAGCTTTTTTTTGCAAGAGGTGCTATGCAGTCTGCTCTTGAAAACTGTCAATCCCTGACCCCAAAACGTTTCATTACTTATAACAAAGTGGCAAATACAATCTATAACAATATGCCCTAGTCCAGTCTCACCACTCTGCAGAAGCGCTTCAGCTCTGGTCTCTCGCAAGCCAGCCAGGCTTTCTTCCAGGATCCTGTAGCTGGGCTTGACATTGAGCCACAGCAGGATAATGTGCCATCTCCACCCAACACTGTTGTTCCCCAGTTACTCATGGGTTGTTGCAGGGATGAATTAACCCACCATGGCTGATTGATATATATCAGGGTGCTGTGTGTGTGTGTGTGTGTTAGGGCTATATATATATATATATATATATTGCCCTAACATGCATCACTTTGCATGTAAATAAACCAGCATAGCTTCACATGCTGGTTTATTCTATCAAAGGCACGTCTGAGGGAAGATTGAAAAATAGTTCACCCTCTGTTTTGTCTTGTCTTCTCACAGGCTTCCTAAACGCCATGATCTCTAGAATTATGCCATATTTAAATGCGGTTATTTGACTCTGTGGCATACATTATCACATGGCAGGGACTAGGATAATAAGCAACATTGCCTTGACCAAGGACATAATCCAATGAGCCCCCAACTCAGGGCATCCTGTGCAGAGCAAGAGAGCAGAAGCAAGGGTCACCTCCACGATCCTTCTGCCCTGCAAAGAGCTAGAAAGCTGATTTTGGCATGTAACTGTGCAACTTGGGAGTGAGGTGAAGGTGCCTTTAGGATACATCATATCATGGGAACGCCAGGCTTCTCCTGCCCTGCCCCACCCCATCCCCAGCCCCCTTGGCCACAGTCACTGCTAGGACACCAGGGAAGCATCTGGCACAAGTCTTCTCATCCTGGATGCAAGGAGCAGGGAGGAGTGGTGGCGACCACAAAGCTGGGGGTCCAAATGATCCTGTGGCCATGTAGACAGAGCCTAAGGGTACAGGAATGTTCTTCCTGGTAATAAAGCACAAAATTATTCAAAAGTAGTTCAAGAGATCACTGCTTGATGGGATTTAAACAAAACTTCCTTGTTTTAAAATGATTGCTGGTTAGTGTGAGGGCTGCTTTAAAGAATTTTATGCAGATTTAGGGCTTTTAAATGTTTTTTAAATTGATGTTTGCATGCTACCCATTTATTGAGATGATTGATAAATACAATGATGGAATGAATTAATAAATGGTGAAAAGTGTTCCTGTGTCCTTGTTCCCAAGCTGGGGCACTAACGAATTTTCTGAGTACTAATACTATTCCACTTGGATTTACAGATGGAGAAATTCCGAACTCTCCTGTTTACTACAGAAGAAGACGAAAGGGTCCAGATGGTGAACAACTTCCGTCCCCCTCAGCCTCTGAAGGGCAGGGTAGTACGTGCATCGTTCAAGGCATGAGGAGCAGAAGAGGTGGCAGTGATGGCAAAATGTGACAGAAACTTCAAAACATTCGAACTGCTTCAATATCAGCAAACAGAAAACTTTTGACAGATAATCAACATTCTTCAGCTTTAAAAAGCCAGATCAAGAGACAGTGGGAACAGCCGAGGGGAACTGACATGCAAGCATGGAGGAAAGAAAATAGCCTGTAGACTGCTCATGCTCATCTGGGCTTCTTTGAGAAAGATGCTCAGAATCTCGGCATTCTTTCTTTTCTTTGCAGAAGCAAATCCATCCACATCGTGTCTCCCTACTGACAAGCAGTGGCTAGAATATATTTGAACAGGCAGACAGTCATCATGATGGTCTCCTAGGGAGAGTCCAAAAAGACAGGCAGCTGTGCTGATCCAGATCAACGAAACAGTTCTAGGATTTCTCCTCTGGTAGTACCATGTTCTTTGTAAAGCTCGTGAGTCGTAATTGCCCATTCAAGACCAAGCCATCCTCAGTAATTTGCACTGCAACAAGAAGCAACATAGTGTTGCTGGGAGAATTCATTTCCCCTCAGCTACTCTGAGAATTGCAGCTATGCTCAGAAGGAACTAGCAAGCCCAGCAGAGTGACAAATGACTTCAGCATCCTTGCTGAAGAAAAAGGGCCACTCTTGTGCCCTTGAAAGACCTGTCCCCACCAGACTGCTGTTGACAAGAGAAAGTCTTTATTCTGTGGCCACATTGCTTGGAAAGCACTACATCTCCGCTTTGTCAGAAGAAATGCTGAGAGTATAACTTGTCCTTGGCTAAGAAACATGGTTAGCGTGAGAGTAAGACTTTACATGAATGTTCCAATTTTCATTTGTTGGGGGCTAGAAACTTGCATGACTCCCAAGACTGTAGGGCATAGTTCAAAAACATAGTGGCATAATGCAAGGACTCCGAAAGCAACAGGTGCCTTCAGTAGATACGCTGGTGTCACAACGTGTTCTAGTCTCCAAATAGCTGCTTAGCCTAAACATTCTGCTTACTCTATTACAAACAGACTGAAGGACTGGAGACCTGCTCCTAGTCCTGACTTCTATGATAAAAGGCTACAGATGAATGAATTGATAAATGTAGATGATTAGGGCATAATGGCTTCCAAAAACTTGGGTGGGTTCACAGGTCACAGCAAGCAACCCTGCATGGTTTTCATGGTGTGCAGCGTTTTGACTGGATGTGCCTGACAGATAATCCAGCAGTTGCTGTGCTAGCGTGGCTGTTGCCCTCCTTGTTCAGTCCTCCTGCCGTTGGCACACATCTCACTAGCATCATGCCTGAAGTTCAATCCCATGCTGAACAGCTGGAGCAGCTCTTGTACCTGCCACTTTTTCCAGGGAGGACAATGGAAATAATGATGCTGGATCTGGATGAACCATAGTGAAGTATGGAACCCATAGAACTGACCGTTGTTTCCCATAATGGCTTCCCGTAAACCAAATGTGCCATGCTGAAATACCATGCCAAGGTTCAGGTGGCACACATACCATCCTGCAAAAGAAACCACTGTGGCTTGGTTTTTTCTGTCAAGTAAACCAACCCACTGTTTAGATGGGTGTAGGAAAGTAATACACTCTTTCTGTGCTGGCTGCAGTTGCAAGGACAGAAGACCCAGCCTCACAGCAAGTGCTTGGTGAGTGGGGAGGAGGCCAAGGAGGGGAGGCATGAGGCTGCATCAGGCTATGATATAACCTGTTGTTGTTGTTAGTTGCGAAGTCGTGTCGGACGCATCGCAACCCCATAGACAACATTCCTCCAGTCCTTCCTGTCCTCCACCATCCCCCAGAATCCACTCAAACTCACACCGACTGTTTCCGTGTCTCCATCTAGCCACCTCATTCTCTGCCGTCCCCTTCTTCTTTTGCCATCTATTGTTCCCAGCATTAGGCTCTTCTCCAGGGAGTCCTTCCTTCTCATTAGGTGGTCAAACTATTTGAGTTTCATCTTCAGTATCTGGCCTTCTAAAGAGCAGTCAGGGTTGATCTCCCCTAGGACTGACCAGTTTGATTGCCTTGTGGTCCAAGGGACTCGCAGGAGTCTTCTCCAGCACCACAATTCAAAGGCCTCAATTCTTCGGCATTATATATCCTAGCAGTGCCTTAGCCTGCCCTCCTCATGGGCCAAGGCAAAGACTTAGATGGGCAAAATTCCAAGACATTGGCAGGATAACAAGTGCAGAGATCACTTTCCCTTTCATATTTCTCCCACCCACAGAGTCCTCCTGCTTGGGACTTCAGCAGGGTTTCCAAAAACACTCTAATCCTCCTTGACCACTAAGCATACCCAGTCCTCATTAAGCTGTGGTATTTCTGGTGGAGGGGTGGTTCCCTAAAGCATTTTTTTTTTTTTTTTGCATTTCTGCAAACCTTGGGTTCCCCATGACCTGCTGCTGCCACCCTCTTGTGTGTGGGTGGTGCCATTTTGGCCCCATGATAACCGAAATCACTTTTATTATGTAATCAATCACTTGTTATATACCACAAGAAAGCAGGAGGACTTGGCAAACCAGAAGAAAAAGTCTTGCAGTATTTTTGACTAAAATTAACAGAACACTGAGTGATAGATAATTGACCTTGAATAGTTGTACTCTGAAGTGTTCTTATTGTAGCAAAGCCTATAAAAAGAAAAACGTTTTGCTTGATTAAAGTCAAGGGCTATTTCGTTGCTTTTGGTTGAACTGCATTGCCCTTTGTGGTACACCATTTTCATTTCAGCCAATCTTTTATCAAGTCCCATCTCAATTGTTTAAATGTACTATAAATTTGACTTCATACAAGTCAGTCAGTCTCTCTCTCTCTCTCTCTCTCTCTCTCTCTCTCTCTCTCTCTCTCTCTCGTAAAGGTTCAGTCTAATGATAATTTCCACTTGCTAGTTTTCCTCCTGTTCTGTAAGACTGACCCACTCCTGCCACCTCATCAGTGAAAGTTATGGGTTTTGGGTTCATCTGAATGACTTTCAGTGCCTCTGATTACTAAGAGGCTGCCTTCCAACTATGCAGTCCTTTTAAGTAGAGCTATTAGTGCGGGTGCCTTGAGGCAAACTGTCTTAAAGGACAGTTGACAACTAGTAACATTGTGCTAATGCGTTTCATTGGAAGTTTGGATGGCCCAAAAAGATAACATGATAACCCATACTCAAAGGTTACATGGTTAACCCATGCTTCAAAATACTATTTGAACCCAGCTGCACCAACAAGCCATGGCTTGTTAACCATGGATGACCTATGGAAAGTACCCATGTTTTCTTGTTGAGTTCTAAACTTTGGACTATTCACCATGGTTTGTTTTCTTGACTGGGTTCAGCCAACACAATAACCCACATTCCCACAACAACCCATAGTTCACTGACACCCCAAACTCAACTTTTGAGTGCGAGATGGCTGAACCCAGTCAATAAGTTTCCACAGGGATGTAAGCAGCAAGGGTCCTCAACACTGCAGCCAGGGCTGATGGGGTTAGGAGGAGAACCAAGACCTGTTCAGCCAAGGGTTAGACACTTGGTGGACATAGTAGGACCACAGGAAAAAGCAGATTCAGGTGAAGGGAATGGCCAGGTACCACCAAAAGCAGGGCAAGACCAAAGACAAGGCAAAGTCAGGAACAGATGAGAGCCAAATATTAACAAAGACATGGCAGGACTAGAGGAAAAAGTGGAATCAGGGACAGGCAAGAGTCAAGACATGAGTGAAGGCATTGTAGGATTAAGAACCATGAAGAGTCACATTGTTGTGACAAAGCCAAGCAGGACTGAGAGGCCTTTTGTAGGCCTCCTGTAGCTCCCAGCTAGTCTTCACAAATGCACTGACACTAATCCAGAATGCACTTATAGGTTCAGTGATAATCCTGCATGTACTTGCAAGGTGAGCCAGGCTGCCTTCTCTATCAGGCCACCAGGAGGAGCTCCAGCAGCTTGCAGATTGTGACAATAAGTGATAGAAACAGAGCAAGTCAGAAGGGACCTCCCAGGCCATCTAGTCTTACCCCCAGCTCTAGCTGACTCCACCCATAACATGGCTACCATGTGCATGATGGGAATACATGACTCATGTTTTGTCCCCTGCTCAGCAAGGAGAGGAAGAGAGGTGCACGTCTGTGTCTAAGAGGAAGGGTCTTTTCCAGCCTTATCTGCTGTAAACTGAACCTTGAACCTTCTGTGTGTAGTAACATCTTCTGTATCATTAAGCTGTCAAGTTTCTGCAGGCCCACCACCTCATTTCCTTATGGTGGAAAACCACTGGCAGTTACTGCCATAAGTCATGGCCCTATTCTAGTAGCAAGTTTGGGATTTCGATAAATGGATAACCAGACTGCAAATGCCACCTAATGGCCTTGCTTAACTTAGGCTATAATCCTACTCACACCTGAGAATAAGTCACATTCAACTTACTTCTGCATGGCCATGTATAAATGATAAGGTTTCAATTTTATGTATATGTTGAGAGTAGGTCCTTTGGAACTCCATGGGATTACTTTCCAGGTAAACACGCACAGGATTGCACAGTTTCATATGCTTTTATTGATCCACCTTCATCTCTAAACAAGTGATCAGAACTTACCTGGATATACCATGCCCTGAGGACAATGGTGCAGATAGGAAATTTCAGACCCAGATAATGGTGTTATGGTACACCCCTTTGGGTAGCCATGTCTTATCCTGAAACACACCATTAACATTTCTTTCCATACTCCAGTTCTTGATTTACAACTACCTCTACATTCACAATACATTAAAATAATAGCAACAAAACTGTTTTCCAGCCCTGCTCTAAACAGAGCCAGGTTTGCACAACATGACAAGACATGGGGGTTTCTTGCACGAGATGATGTGTTGTCGTATTTCAGTAAGGTACATTTGATTTTTGGAAACCATAATAAGAAACAATGGTCTGTTCTATGGTTTCATGCTTCACAATGGTTTCTCCAGTTGTCTAAACCTGGTGTGGTAATTTCCATGGTCCTGCTAAGCAGCTACCATAAAGTCCCCTAGAAAGAGTGGCCGCTGCAGGAGGGGCTCTAGCCATCTTTTGTAGGACTGAATTTCAGGTACAGTAGCTGATAGGATACATGCTGACTGTAGGAGAACTAAAAAGGGAGAGTAGTAACCATGCTAGCATGGAAACCACTTGATAATATGTCAGACATATTCAGGCCAAAAAGATGGACCTTAGCAACTGCTCAGCATTGCTTGTCCTTATGTATAAATCAAGCCAGAGAGAGAGAGAGAGATGGAGGAAAACCACTCTGTGAATCTGCAGTTTTGCATTTTAGACTAAATGTAAATTGCAGTGTCATTGTAACAGCAGGAATGAAACAGAGTTTGTTTCTGCTGCCCTGATCACTTGCTAATCTCTAGGTGGATACCAGCCTGGACTGTGGGAACCATAGACATTAACTCCCATGTTACAATTTACTGCTTAACATCAATCTCAACTTCAGTTTGCTTTTATTGACAAAAATGTTTTCAGTTGGCAACATGGCTATAACTACAGCTGCATATGCGTAACACCTGAGATTAAATAAAAAGTGGATTTTGGATCCTTTCAGATTCCAGACCACAAAGGGTCAAGAGTTGCAAGATGTTGCTAGACACATGCCTGGCATGAATGAGCAGGACATGATTTATATCGAAGAACAGCAAAGCAACTGGCACAG